CATACAAGGATTGCCACCCAATTTTTATTAAAATGGAGCAAAAAATCAAAAGTTGGGCAAATAAAAAGTTGAGTTATGGTGGACGTTTACAATTGATACAATCAGTTCTGACTGGAATTTATCTGCATTGGTGCAGTGTATTCATTGTTGTAGTATTTTAATAAAATAATTAAATTCTCAATTACATGTGCATGTTACAAGGGAAATAAATTTTCTGAAATTATAGGTGTTTGAATGGTTTTTACTAAAGATTTATTGTATGAAGTTGTGGCTTTTCAATTACATTAAAGTTTTGTAACTTACAATTCAAATTTGGATTTGAATGGGTATTGACCAAAGAATTATTATGATTTTTTAATTACAATAAGTTTTTTGTAACCTACAAATTTGAATGTGTTTTGAATGACCAATAATTTCAACATTTACTTGGTGTCTTATTAGTAACATAAGTTTTGTTTGTCTAACTTTTATTCACCTATATATATGCATAGTTGAGATAGAAAAGTTCTACTACAACAACTTATGTTTTTTTAGTATAAATTTACTATTTTTTATCTCATAGTTAGGCAAGAAACAAAAGGTGTTTGTAGAGCTATACTCTCCTAGTTATGCAGTCTAGAGAGTGTGTTAGCAAGTGTGGTTTGGCTATTGTATCTTGGGGGTGACAAGCTAGAGAACTTGCTACACGGGAGTTAATTCTTCCATAGAGGATTGAATCACCTTAAAGAGAGCGAGATATCCGTACCTCAATCCTCCACGCTTGAGTACTAATATATTGTTATTGTCTAATCTTTTTTTTTTCTGCATATTTGTTTTTATTTTTTGTTCCAGGTGAACAACATTCATCTTGCCAAAATCAGTTACTCGCAAAATTAATAGCATATTAGCTTCTTTTTTATGGGCTAGTGAGGTGAAACAATTTTATGGGGCTCGAGTTAGCGGGAAGGAAATCTGTAATCCAAAAAAAGATGGTGGATTAGGTTTATACAACATTGAATGTGGAACAAGTGCCTGATACTGAAGTTGATATGGAATATCAGTCGTAAGAAAGATACACTGGGGGTAAGATGGGTACATAGTATCCCATTAAGGAGTCAATCCCAATGGGCAGCTAAGATCCCAATTGATGCTTCTTGGGTTTGGAGGAAAATAATGAAGAGCAGAGAGCTGGTTCAACCATTAGACGTGATGTTGTGGGCAATGGTACTAATACTAGTTTCTGGTTCAACCTTTCATTAGGCATGTTGGGAATGCAGCAAATTATACCAACGCATTTACCAAATACATCGGTCTTTGATTAGTAAAAAAAAATTATTTAAACTTGCCAAATGCATCCGTCATTGGAGGATTTTTGACACTCTCCGCTTTACACAATATTATAGGGGGCTATATAGATATTTTAAAACTTTAGAAGAATAATGTGATATCATACGAAAAATTTGTGACAGGATAGAGGCTGGTTAACTCGGTATTGTTTCCTAACAAAGAGTTACCAATCATTTCAAAAACCTACGAAGACTTACCTACCTAACATAACTCATCAAGAAGAGATAATCTCACTCAACAATTAAGCAGAAATATTGAATGGCGATCCTAAAAGTCAATCCTCCAAATAAGTTATTTGAATTGACACTCTCCTAACAAACCAGAAATACGTTTAGAAAATCCGGGAAAGAACTTTTGGGTGCAATATGACATAAATGTTCGAGATGCACAAAGAAATCAGTGCATATAAAACTTTGATATTTAAAAGTAGCATTAATGCTCCTTGGAGTTTTATTCGAGAGTTCACAGGATTTCCAATTTTACACATTTAGATTTGGTGGCTTAAGCTGAACCATTGAAAAACAGAAAATACTTGAGCTCTTCCATACGTGAACAAGGCTGAACAAGTGCTAGATTGAAGAAGTAGATGGAACCAATACAAAGTGTTCTACAGGGAAAAAATGGCAAACTGGTGCTGTGTCGGGTTCGATTCCTAGCACTCGGAAGGAAATGTGACCATGGCTCCAGTGAGAGGTAAGAATTAATTCCATTTAAAGGATGAATTTCACAAGCCAATTTAAATTGGAGACTTAACTTCAAAATTAACCCCCGCCCCCCCCCATCCCCCTCAAAAAAAAAAAAAAAAAGAGCACAATTCTAAAACATGGCGGCTAATTGATCCATGTTAAGAGTGGGAATGCAAATAAGTCGAATTTTATCTTAACTAATTAACATAGTCTCACAGAGTTTTTCATGGGTACGAATATAATTTTTGAAATTCAAACCTTATCAAAACATAGACCATGTAAGAAAATCATAGATTTAGATACCATCTAGCTTTATATAATCGTACTATACAGAATATTTAGACTCAGACCATATGCAAACTCAAACAAATAGACAAACACACAGTTTAGCCATTTTACTAATAGAATATTGAATTCAACTACACCTTGAAATGATTTATTACTAATAAAAAAAGTTTTGAAGTAGGTTGAATAAAATCTGTGTAATCTAAGCAAGATTTACTAATTTTCTAGTAAAAATAACCACTATATTAGAAAGGCCACAAAATTTGATTTTATTGTGCTTTAAATCGAAGCATTTTTACCAATAATAATAATAGGAATAGTGAAGTTAGTGCAAATTTCAAAACAAGAAGCAATATACACTCGATTATGGTATGTAAATTTAAGATTATTATAAAATTATAGTTTTAGCCATTTACATACTATTTGTCCATAAAAAACTTAAAATTATTTTCATGAATATTATGGGTAAGCTTCACAAGTGTGATGTTAAGTTTCAACAATAAAGTGATAAGCATAGTTAGTAAAATATGGGATGGATATAATACGGGTATGGACCTATATGGCAGGGGCGGATTTAAAGGGGGGCACTGGGGGCATTAAAGGGGGGGCACTGGGGGCCTTAAATTCCTATAATAGTTCTATAATTTTGATATAATTTTAAAGGTGCCCCCAGAATTTTTTTAAAAAAAATGTGAAAGAATAGATCATAAAATTTATATAATTCACTTTCTTCCCCGGTCCTCATTTTCCCCCCAACAGGGCCAAGTACCAATTATATAAGTCATTACTTTTAGTCCCCACTTCCCAAGTTCCATTTACTCCTCTGGTCCCTCATTTCCTTTCACAACCGATGACCATTCTTCTTCCACACCCAACTAACAACTCTTTTTATTTATCACTTCATCCAATCATTATTAATCATTTACTTCCTTTGTCCCCACTCCCCAAGTTCCATTTACTCCTCTGGCTTTTGGTTGTCCCCACTCGCCAAAATACGATTGCCACTTTTTCTTCCACAACCAAAGCTTGTTACTCTTTCTCTGATCACTTCATTCGATTTAGAGATTGCATTAGAATCAATTGATCTTTTGGGACCTGGGTCCGCCACTGATTTGCAGCTCTCTTTACCAATTTAGGAGACCATCAAAATCAGGTTTTAAACAATTACTTATTATTATTATTTTGAATTTGTTTGCAAATATATTGCTAGAGCATGAGAGTATTACTGTTTTAAAGAAATTTGAAAATTGATTAGTTAATGTAATAACTAATAAATGGGTTATTTGATAATTATTTTAACTTGTGAAATGGTGATTTTATGGATTTATAATTTATTTTTATTTTCATTGATTAGTTTCTTATATTGGAGTTAATGTAATGATGAATAGAGGACCATTTGACATATATTTTAACTTTTAAATTATTCTTGTATGGATCCTTTTGTCTAATTAACTTGATTAGGTTCATATGTTGTGATTAATGATTTGATATAGTAATGAATAAATAAGTCATTTAATAAATAACTTTAACTTGTAAATAGTTCTTGGATAGATTTTATTGTACATTTAATATTTTAATTGGAGTAGTATCTTATATATTGATTTTAATTTCTTTAGCTATGGAGAGATATTTCAAGAAGAAATCAATGGAAAAAGAGTCATCTAATAAAGAATAAGCCAAGGATAATGAAAGTGCAAAAAATGACAATAAAAGAAGTTACTTGGGATTAACTTAGATGAATTACCTGCGGATCCAGCCCAAAAAAAAAAATTGGGGATTATCATCCAAACCTTCAAGATGAAATTCGGAGATATTACTTACAAAAGGGACCATGTCAACCTCATGATTATTACATTAATAATTTTGAGTTTGTCTCTTTATATTTTTCATGGAATATAATATCATTTGTACTTGTTGGTGAATTTATTTTTTTTTTGCTTAAAAATTTAAAAAAGAGTAGATAAAAAAATTTTAGTGTTATTTTTGCCCCCACTAAGATTTTTTTCTGGCTCCGCCATTGCTATATGGGATGGATGTAATACAGACATGGACCCATATGATTAAAGTTTAACGTAAAAACCATAAGTTAGACAAAAAAAATGTATAAATCTAGTGTTATTCTTATATACACTAATAATGTGTACATTACCACGATTGGATACATGACACATATATAAAATTTGGATTAATTTAAATTCAGATTGTGTATCACGCATCCAATAGTGAAAGTGTCAATATATAGAAGATTAATTCATAAATCCATATGTGGACTAACAATATTTAAAAGTTACGGAACGAAAAATATGGATTAAATTACTATAATTTTCAAAGATTATGCTACATTAAGACAACTTTGACTCTTATTCTTTTGTCTTAGATTATAAATTTATTAAAACTTTATTACCTTAGGTATTAAATTATAAAATTATGATATATAGACAAGCGGCATGGAAGAATGTTCTTATTGCTATCCAAAATTTCAAAATAATTGAGTATAATTCGGGTAGAAGTAAAAGAAAAGTAGAATTGTACTGCAACTGGAGTAAGTTTACGTAACTAAGTCTATACCCGACCCACTTGTACGGATGTACGGACATTTAGTGCCAGGTTGGCACCCCAACGACAAAATATATATATACCTTATTTGGCGCTTATTTTAGGTAACTGCGCCCGGCAAAAGAAGCCTCTTCACATTCAACAAGCATGGATAATCACCAGCAGCAGAGGGAGGAGCAGCCATACCTCCTCCATGATCACCTCCTCCACCACCACTGGCCGCCCTTGCAGGGCCAACAGCAGCAGCCACTGCAACATCAACACCAGCTGTATCCCCTCAATGATCAGCAGCAACCGGTTCCGCAAGGCATAATTCTCCACGAAAATTCACAGAATTTTCTGGATTCTATGCCTCGCGGTTACAGGTTTTGCCCCACTGATGAAGAGCTAATTGTACACTACTTGAGGAAAAGGATCGCCAAGGCTCCATTACCACTTAACAGAATTCATGAAGCCAATGTCTACGGCCACAATCCTCAAGAACTTACAAGTTAGTATCTATACAATTGAAAAAACTTTATGTTATTCTCGCTCGTGACTTCTTAACAGTTGTTTTTCTAGTTTTCGGATAAAGAACTCGGAAAACATCTGTTAGGTGTTTTCTAGTTTGTAACCGGGAACTTTACTCCATGCGAAGGAAAGTGTTTGACATGGTCTGATGTTCTTCTAACGAATATGCTATGTACAAGTGTTAATTTGCTGTTTAACGATAGAGCATAATTGAACCCCTTTTAATTCCATAATCCCCAATTAATTAGGCTAAATCTTTGAAATTTTTTGAACATTAATTTCAGTGACGGTAGATCACGAGAACACCATCATCATAGAGATGAGATTTGGGGTTAGAGGGTTTCTCATTGATGCACGTACGTAAAAGTGATTAGTTTAGGGTATGGGCTATGTATCTAATTTAATAACTAACATTCTTGTCTGTCTAAAAAATGGGTATTTGTTCCTAACAAAATTTGAATAAAAGCAGCCTTGATAAATAAATTACGATCCCCTTTTTCTTTATTTTGTTGTAATATTGCATAACTACGCTATATATTTGATTCTTTCTTTTTTGGTTATATATGCGCAGATAGATACATATCGGATAGCATTCATAACGTGAACGGATGGTACTTCTTCACCTATTTGACGAACAAATACCCCAAAGGCAGCCGTCCCTCTCGATCATGTGGAGATGGTGGATTTTGGAAACCCACCGGCAAAGACAAGAAGATTTATTACAATGGCAATACCGTCGGATACAGGAAGTCACTAGATTTCTTACTTGGGCCTGGTGAAAAAACGGCTTGGAAGATGCATGAATATAGAATTCATGCAAATAACCCAAGGTACAAGTCAGTACTTATTTTCTGATTAACTTGCTTTATATATTATTATGCTTCAAGGTATTCTTATAATCTTTTCAATGGACAGTAATAAGAATAACAATTCATGCTATGCTTATTCTCACTTCTTCTCTTCTCCTTCTCATCTGATTATTTCATGAAACATTTTAATGTCTTTTATGTGTTATCTATGCATGTCTTAGTTTGGATATATAGACACATTTTTGGATGTTTATACACATAGTGTGCATAGGTAGCTAGACATATATGTAGCCCAATCAACGACAGGATAAAAAAAAAAATTTTTTTTTTTTGATTTGAAGATGTAACATGCATGCACATGTAAATTTCAGAACCAACATAAAATTATTCAGAAATTTTTAGGGGGCGTCAATAGCTCAATATGCATAGAAAATTTTTCAAAAAAAATATGAATATGTAGAACATGGGAGGAGATTTCCTCTCCCTGCGCTCCCAGTTTTCATGCTTGAGTCCAACAGATATAATCATTAGAAGGTAGAAATCTTCATAGCATAAGAATAAGTTTTCAAGAGGAAACAAGTTTTTTTTTTTTTTTTTATAATTTTCGGGAAGTTATAATCGATTAAAACTCTTTGACAACCGAGCTCTAGCCACCAAGTCAAGAACAATTTACTTCTTGATTTCTGTCAGTATAGTACATACATACACTATTATGTAAAAGAGTGGTGTCCACTTCTTAATCTACAAGTCTTTACAACAATATTATACTAAGTGCTCAGTAACCACTTCTCAAATAATATAGGATGTCCATTTGCATGGCTTTTTTCATTTACAAACTCCATTATACATTACTAACATGTTGTTCATTTTTGACAGTCGGATCCAGTTTTATGTAGATTGTATATGAACATAAGACGCAAAAACAAAGATGAAAGTGAAGGTGACACAGTAGAATTGATGAGGGAAAATCTTGACCAGTGTTTTACAGTGAATGAAGCTCCCATGCAGAATGAGGACAATGATTTGGCGGTTGGCAATATTTCCTCTGCTGGTTCTACAAACAATCAATGTATGGAGTATATTACCAGCACTCTAGACACAGGAGGTGATGCCATTTCAAACCAGGTTATCTATGATCTTTCTAGTTTCCAATTTCCTGATCATCCATTTCAAGATTTCCAAGGATACACTAATTCTCATGGTGGGCTCGAAGCAATTACTCAAGAGTTCACTGAACCGTTCCATTTATCAAAGGGTACCATGATGCCCTCTAATTTGAGTATGGAACCGTTCCATTTATCAAGGGGTACCATGATCCCCTCTGATTTGAATATGGAGGATGTTTCGAAGTATGCTATTGGTGGTACTGATTTGTCCGACTTAGCATGGCAAAATGGTTGTGCTGGTGGTTATGTCAATATGACCTCTCTCCAAATTGATGGTGAGAATTCAGGCAATAAGTAGAAGTATCACACATATTTTGATTACAGTAGTGGTGTTGTTGTATGCAAAGTATAAACAAGGACAAGGATTTTAGCAGGTTTTAATTGCTAATTTCGTCTTGATTGATATGGGTAACAATCCATGCTTGTTTCTTTACTTACTATTCACTTATGTATATGTTGAGTTTTTTTCTTATGGTCTATGTGTAGTGTATATTTGCGATTTTTCTTCTTCCTTTCAAACATGAATACTTCCACATAGTATGGTTAGCTATATTACAAGCCTTCAAAACAACTTACCTATAAATTATTTTCACATACGCTAGTCTTTAGTTAAAAATAAATACATTGTAATTAGTTAAAAAAATTTTCATAACCATGAGCAGTCAAAAGAATTGGTAGGTCATCAGGACAGATTGCGCTTTTAAAACAAAACTCTATGACGGAAAGACTGAATGCATTATCAATTAATGGTTTGGTGGTTACATTAATTCAGTATGTTCTCCCTTCCAATGAAAAAAGAAAATGACTAGCAACCCAAATACTAAATTCAAGTTTTCAAAATCAAGATCCAACGAATAAATCGTTTAAAATCACACATACATACACACATGCATACATAAAATCATAGCTCAGACTATATAATCCTAATAACAGATACATCAAATCATAGCTCAAATTATATAATGGGATAATTTCAGAAACCTTCCTTGAGGTTTTTCTTAATCACACCTAGCACCCCTAAAGTTTTTGAAATCACACTTAGCACCCTTAGAATGACAACTTTTGTAGCATATCAATCCCTTTAGGTAAAAATAGTATTAAAAATGTATTTAAGAGAGAGACTATAATATTCTTCCACATTTGCCCTTTTGCAAGTTGATTTTTGAAAACTAGAAGATGAAAATAAAAAAAAGTTGATTCCTTTTTGCCTTTTCATATTTCTTATGCAGGAAAAGGGAAGAAAAAAGAAAAAACATTTATGTTCGATTATGTAAAAATAAAGTAACAAAAATGCACATAAAATTTGGGCACTATTTTTTTTGCATATGCAATCAAAAGATGGGTTTTGAGGTTCTTTGACAATCTAAACATAGAAAATTTATCTTTTTTTAACTACGATTTATCTTGCCATCTAGTTTAATCAGTAAGAGGTGAGGGAAAAATATGTTCAAATCATTCATTTGGTGAAAAAAATGCTGGGATGCAATTGAAATCATGAAAAAAAAAAATGCATATTAAATATACCTATATTGGTTTTCAATTATCAAAAACAAAATTTTTGAAAAAATTGGTTAACAAACAGTATTCAAAATTTTTTTTTCCTTTCTATCAAAAACTTTGGCACAGATCTTATAATGGTCATATGAATCAACAAAAACGATACAATTCAGCAGTTATTGTGCTTACACTCCTTCAATTTCTATGTAAATATTGTAGTTCTATTTGTTTTTATTTTCATCTTCTAAATTTTAAAAATCAACTAACAAAAGGGCAAAATTGGAAGAATACTATAGTCCCTCTACTAAACATATTTTTTAATATTATTTTTACATAAAAGGGCTATTATGTTACAAAGGTTGTCATTCTAAGGGTGTTAAGTGTGATTTTAGAAACTTGAGGGGTGTTAGGTGTGATTAGAAAAAACCTCAAGGGAGGTTTTTGAAATTATCTCTTATATAATCCTAATAACAGTACAACAATGATAGATGTCAAGAAATTTAAAAAATGCAATGTTAGCCAAAAAAACACTTCTTAAATCCAAGGTTATAGACTTGTAGTAATGTCAAGATATTTAAAAAAATGCAATGTTAGCAAAAAAAAAAAACACTTCTTAAATCCAAGGTTATAGACTTGTAGTAATGTCAAGATATTTTAAAAAATGCAATGTTAGCCAAAAAAAAAATGCTTAAATCCAAGGTTATAGTTTTCAACATTACACACCAATGACATAACAACAAAAAAACAAAAAACAAATAAAATGAATGGCTTAAATTGATCCTCTGCAATATTTGAAGCCTAAACTTTAGAAAATAGAAAGATTTTTTTTAATAGTATAGAGATATAAATTACACAATTTATATCTCATGCCCGCTTCCCCTCCCTCATACCGTGGATCGATGTTTATGGGTTTGGGTTGTCTTGTTCATGAACTAACAAAAAAGAAAAGAAAAGAAAAGAAAAAGCTTCCAAAACTATGTTGCTTTTTGATCACTCTCTTTGATCTTCACCCTAACAATGACTATTTGAGAGGAAACACTTTAACATCATCCAAAACAGGACCAAATATGTGACCATAGTCATGAAGCTTTGTGTGTGATAATTTGGGCTATAAAAAGTTATTCCTGTTCTGTTTGAAAGTGCTTGGAACTTGAGGATGGCAGTCTTGGATCCACCAATTCCAGTTGATGTAAATGAAACTTTTATGGTTTTCCTAGCTGCAAAAGCTTCAATCGTCATTGATCCAAGACAACCATTCCTAGCATCCCCCAAAGCGAAGGAAAGAAGGTAGAACTTGTTAGGTACTGTTCTTATGATTTGTGCAATAGCTGTTTCTCTTCCTCCAACCAATTCAATAGCTGCAAGTCCTGGGAACAGAGAAATGCTTCGAGTCAACATACTTAACGGTTTGAGGGATTCAACAATCCATCCAGGGAGCGATGAGTAGATGTCCGTCCTCTTAGGGAGGAGCAGCACCCCAGTTGAGAAATTCTTGAACACATGAGGGCCGGTTTCAAAATCACCATTTTTGACCAAGTTACCTGCATAGTTTCAGTGCAAATTAGGAGCTTTCTATGAATTATAAAATATGCATTGCATTGGTTAACATTTACTATATATTTAGAAGAAACTACAAATTTATATTTTAAAGATAGTGTCTTCGTGAACGAATATCAACAGTCAATAATAAAAAGAACAAAAAGGCAGTTGGGTTGTGATCAACTTACGACCATTGCCCAACAATTCAGACAATTATTTTGGGATAAATGTTAATGGCACTCCTTTCTCTGTGAACGGCACCTTTTTTTTTTTCAACCTTTTGCCATTTGAATCAGATAAAAATTGCCATGTTTTTCTTTGAATTTACAACTGCCATTAGAAAAGTCAAGAGGAGTATCATTAACAGATAAGTGTGTGCCATTAACATTTTTCTTGTACTGGCCAATATCGAGCTTTCACATATCTGCTTAAAGATCTGGGAGGCAGATGACATTGGAAAAAAATTCCAAATTTGGAAGAGGACTTACCCTTAGTGTATCTGAGAGGAAGTATCTCCTTGATTGCAATTGCATCCAGAAGAGGTCCACAGGTAGGATCCTCTTGAATTCCAGGATTATGAAATGTAACCTTGACAACATCAGAAGTTGCCTTAAAAGCCCATGCATAAGTATCACCACCATCGCTGCTAAACAGTGTTTGAATTGGGAGTTCAGTCGAAAAACCAGGGACAGAAACCCTTAGCTTCTCATCTTGGGCACAAGTCCTGGTGACTGCAAAGGTCAATGAATACATTGCTCCAGGTTTCACCTTAACATATTGAGATATGGAAGCCTCATTTCCAAGCCTCGCTGCATGAGACCCACGAGGGATTGCAAAGTAAAAACCACCAGGTTGCGGTCCACTTGAAACATATTCAACTATGCCATGAATTTCCCATTTGGGCAAGGAGTATTTTCCTATGATCTGTCTTTTCTTAAGGTTTGATACCTTTGGCCCTTCCTCAAAGTTACCATTTTCTAGTAGACCTGCAAAATGTAAACAGGAATATGGTTAGAAAAACATACTACTTCTAGTTATGAGTAAATTTTTCTCCCTGTTCTTGTATCCTGCCATTGTTCGAATTTTTCAGAAAAAATAATAATAAAGAGGAAGAGTACATAGAAGGTCGGTTCATATCAATGATTAAAAAGAAGTCCAGAGCGAAAAACCTTTTCCAAGTATCGGAAAGACAAGTCAAACACCATAAGATTCAAAATAAAAAATTCAAACGGGTCCATGTTGTTCTTGATGTTGAACATGTTAGAGAAAATTAACGCTGTGCATTTGATTTTTCTACAATTTACGTGGATCATGTTTGCATGTCAAGTGAAATTAGGAGGTAAGATTTGATATTTCCTCCGTCATGTACTGAGTGCTGACATAAAAATGATATGGTAAAGTGAATTTATTTGGCATAAACCCAAAAAAAAAAAAAAAAATCGTACCAAGGTTATCTCGTACCTAAGAAAATTTCATTTAGCAATTTTATATGAAAAAAATTAAAGACTATTTAAAGCATACCATCAAGAAATGGCGCAACAGCCGCGAAAGAAAGGCTTTGGTAAATACACATTATGAATAAAATGCAGAGGAGAGAATGGAAGCCATTTTTAGCAGTGAAACTGCCAATGTGACGCAGGATAAAAGCAAATGAGAATGCACGCACTCTTCACTTCAAAAAGCATAACATTGGAGCATGTATGCTTATATGTAAAACTTAAGTTAGAACTTAGAAGGTCTAAGAATAGATAAGAGGGACATGTTATCACGCCATAAAATCAGGCTTGAGATGTGTCGGATTGTCTCAATTTCTCGTTCCCAAAACAAAAAACAAATATTAGGCCCATCTTGGACATTAATCTAGCCGTTGAAATCAGTGATAAAGTCTGCAATTCCATTTCCAAAGGGGACTGAAGTCTTCATAGGTTAGCGTGATTTGTACTATGTACTTTGAATCCCTGGATATCCCACATGACGAAGCTTCATTTCCTTAATCCCACTTGATATGTCTCGAACAACTGACCCTATATATTCATTTATCTGTTCTTATTTCAGTTCTTGATACTCAAATACCTTCAAAGTACTTTCAAGGTCTTGCTTGGCACTTGAGATTGGATCTTGAGTTTCTTTATTCTAACGGCATCTTCTAATGAACTATATAAGCATGTGTAGATCATTTGCTTCACTTATCTATTGAGTGAGACATTAATTGAATGTCAAATTAATAAACATGGGATGTCTCATGAGAATGGATGCATGGCA